CATGGTTATGACACCCCCATACAGTGTCCTCTACATGGTTATGACACCCCCATACAGTGTCCTCTACATGGTTATGACACCCCCATACAGTGTCCTCTACATGGTTATGACACCCCCATACAGTGTCCTCTACATGGTTATGACACCCCCATACAGTGTCCTCTACATGGTTATGACACCCCCATACAGTGTCCTCTACATGGTTATGACACCCCCATACAGTGTCCTCTACATGGTTATGACACCCCCATACAGTGTCCTCTACATGGTTATGACACCCCCATACAGTGTCCTCTACATGGTTATGACACCCCCATACAGTGTCCTCTACATGGTTATGACACCCCCATACAGTGTCCTCTACATGGTTATGACACCCCCATACAGTGTCCTCTACATGGTTATGACACCCCCATACAGTGTCCTCTACATGGTTATGACACCCCCATACAGTGTCCTCTACATGGTTATGACACCCCCATACAGTGTCCTCTACATGGTTATGACACCCCCATACAGTGTCCTCTACATGGTTATGACACCCCCATACAGTGTCCTCTACATGGTTATGACACCCCCATACAGTGTCCTCTACATGGTTATGACACCCCCATACAGTGTCCTCTACATGGTTATGACACCCCCATACAGTGTCCTCTACATGGTTATGACACCCCCATACAGTGTCCTCTACATGGTTATGACACCCCCATACAGTGTCCTCTACATGGTTATGACACCCCCATACAGTGTCCTCTACATGGTTATGACACCCCCATACAGTGTCCTCTACATGGTTATGACACCCCCATACAGTGTCCTCTACATGGTTATGACACCCCCATACAGTGTCCTCTACATGGTTATGACACCCCCATACAGTGTCCTCTACATGGTTATGACACCCCCATACAGTGTCCTCTACATGGTTATGACACCCCCATACAGTGTCCTCTACATGGTTATGACACCCCCATACAGTGTCCTCTACATGGTTATGACACCCCCATACAGTGTCCTCTACATGGTTATGACACCCCCATACAGTGTCCTCTACATGGTTATGACACCCCCATACAGTGTCCTCTACATGGTTATGACACCCCCATACAGTGTCCTCTACATGGTTATGACACCCCCATACAGTGTCCTCTACATGGTTATGACACCCCCATACAGTGTCCTCTACATGGTTATGACACCCCCATACAGTGTCCTCTACATGGTTATGACACCCCCATACAGTGTCCTCTACATGGTTATGACACCCCCATACAGTGTCCTCTACATGGTTATGACACCCCCATACAGTGTCCTCTACAACGTTATGACACCCCCATACAGTGTCCTCTACAACGTTATGACACCACCATCCAGTGTCTTCACCAATGGTCTGACACGACCATACAGTGTCACCTATCTTTTTTTATTTTTATGTATTTTCTTGTTTTGTTCCTCTCTTCAAACTCAAGTTGGTTAGTTTCTATCCTCCTTGAGTTTGCGGGGGGCTGTTAGAATTTACCATCACCTACCACCACTACCACCTCACCTACTCCACTAAACCTAACCCACTACACCACTACCACCTCACCTACTCCACTAAACCTAACCCACTACACCACTACCACCATCCACTACACCTACATCTATATAAGGAACCATTTGTAATAGACAGAAAATCAATCAATATATCAATCAATAATACAGTATTTTGAACAGATGGTATACTCGTATATTCTTCCATAGAAGCTGGCAGTTCTGCAGCTAGCTGTGAGACAATGGGTTTCAACAGGACCTGCAGAAACAAAATTAATTTCAATTATAAGAAAACGGCAGACGAGGGACCCGAAGAAAGCCATGTAGAGTTTTCATTTTTAGAGTAAAGGATTTTTTTTTGTGAATATGCTTTACTCCTTGTAGACTTCACTAGTGAGTTAAATTTTTGGGTCGAGCCTTCCTGATATTCTTGAGTTTTTGTATACAAGTTGTGCCCCATTTGGCACTCTTTCTAATGTATGTTCTGATTAAATATTTTAAAAAAAATAAAAATTGTTTCATTAGTTCTAGTATCAATTCTAGAATGGCCCTTCCTTGAGTTGAACAAAAAGCCTCTGCAGTAGTTTTACATTATAACCAACAAGTGCAATACAACTATGTCAACTTTAGTAAACATTGAAGAGGAAAATAACAAGCGTTGGACTCCTTGTAGACCATAGTGTGGGGTAACCAACAAATAGACCAAGGTGAAGCTGACCAAAATAACTGAGGCACATGAGCAGAGAAGCAACAAAAACTATGATTTAAGTTATTAAGCAAATTTCCTGACAGAAAATTAGAAAACATCTGAATATTGAAATTAATTAATCAAACTGAAGGCCAAACAAGAGACAATTCCCTGAAAATTGTATGTGCATCAGTTCTAGCCACAGTAATTACTTAATTAATACCTGAGTTGCTGTCAAGTATAGTCCGGGCTGGTATGCTGCCTCTTGGCCCATGCCTCTCATTTCATAGCCAGCAGCTTCAAATGCCCAATCTGGTACCTGAATCATGTCAACCAACACCTGAAAAGAGGCGGAATATGCTTTATGGTATGGACTTCTAGTACACATTACATTGAAAAAAAGGCATAAAACATTGCATTCGTATTGGTCTTTATGTATGCAGTATGCCAAAATACAAAAGCTAGGCATTTTTTTAGACCAAGGTGAAGCTGACCAAAATAACTGAGGCACATGAGCAGAGAAGCAACAAAAACTATGATTTAAGTTATTAAGCAAATTTCCTGACAGAAAATTAGAAAACATCTGAATATTGAAATTAATTAATCAAACTGAAGGCCAAACAAGAGACAATTCCTTGAAAATTGTATGTGCATCAGTTCTAGCCACAGTAATTACTTAATTAATACCTGAGTTGCTGTCAAGTATAGTCCGGGCTGGTATGCTGCCTCTTGGCCCATGCCTCTCATTTCATAGCCAGCAGCTTCAAATGCCCAACTAACACCTGAAAAGAGGCGGAATATGCTTTATGGTATGGACTTCTAGTACACATTACATTGAAAAAAAGGCATAAAACATTGCATTCGTATTGGTCTTTATGTATGCAGTATGCCAAAATACAAAAGCTAGGCATTTTTTCTGAAATGCAAATGTTTCGCTATGATGACTTCCCAAATTTTTGGGACTCTTTGTTTTGGTTAATCCTCAAGGAAGACACATAGTGTCCATAAAAGATGTAGCTTCTCTAAAACTTCTAATCTAAGAAATTTCACTTCCGACATGAAGTAGCTTGAATATATTAGTTGAAGACTCAAAATGCATACAAGAAATACAACTTTCCTTTTCTCTGTTGCTCAAAATTTAAAGATCGTCCTTACTACAATACTTGCATGACTCAAAAAGACACTCTTTTCCTTTCAATATTATCCTCTAACTACCTCATTCTTAGTCAATAGCAAACTCAATAATGATATCAATAAAACTTACCTTATATTCTAAAATAGCATTGTGCAATATCAGGGCAGCAAGCTTTTTGCACATGGAAGTTTTTTTTATTTTTTTCTTAATGAGTTTGCATCAGAAAAATCATTAGACTTAAAATTTTACGTCACCCATATGATCTTCATTTAAAAAATAGTACTAGCTTCAAAAGTCCAAGATTGGGGGCCTTACAATCCCATACCAGCAGCAAGCCCATTATCTACGAGCATTGACCCCAAGGTTGATAAGGAGCCAACCTCAACAAATAAAACCAAAGAAATAAGATATTAGAAAGAGATCACTTTTGCTTACAAGAGCAGAGATATCATATGTAGCTGCAAGTCAATAATCAACCTGAGAAAAACATAAATTAGAACGCATTTTTCTTTTTTGAATGATTCTTCCTTGCATAAGTCCAAAACATTTTCAATAGATTTATTCAATACTATTGCTAACTAATCCATGGCAATTCAATGTTACATTAACTAGTCAAAATTTGCATCCAAAGTTTATTGTTAGGCAATACTAAACAACAAAATAGGAAGTATCACAACAAATCAGAAAAATAGTTAACATCAATTAACCAACCCACATAATTTAATTAAACATCTCATTGATGTACCTATTGTGGAATAAGCTAACATGATCGAAATATGAGAAATTCATCAGAAAACATTTGAGCAAACCAATGCAAAAATCAGTTGAAATTAGACCAAATAGAAATTTATAGTGTTCAATCAAACTAAAATATGGGAAATCAATCGGAAAATTTTCAAACAGAAAGAGGATTCAACTATATGATACAAACAAAATGGATCTATACATTATCCAAAGTGGACTATGTTTTTAATCCCATCTATTATTCAATTCCATTTTACACCTATAATTTCAAATCTAAACAGTAGTAATCAGATGAAGAATTGATGAAACCCTAGCTTCAATTCCTTTGTATACGAGGCTTAGATTACATTAAGCTAAGAAAAATTTCAGGATCCTAGAATTGTGCAGAGCTCATTATTAGAAAACATCAATACACACCAAAATAATCAAAAGCTAAACTAAAACAGGGCAACAATAATAATAGGTGAAGTGAAATTCAAAATCTCAAAAAACAACACTAAAAAAGTCAAGAAAATCTCAAATCTTCGTACAATTAACATCGATCACACTTGTGATTCAAATTCAGATTTTTAAAAGAAGAAAAGTACAAAGCTGAAGATATAGCCTCCGTTTGGGAGGTGGGTTGGCTTTTTGACCTTTTTTGTTTTTTTTTGTTTTTTTTTTTTTTTGGCTTAGGTTAAAAAGTTTGGCTTTTTGATGTTTTGTTTGTTGGGACTTAAATAGTCTGTTTTGTCTTTTGTGGCTAAAATAGCCAAAAAAAACCCTTGCCAAACGGAGCCATAATCAAATTGTGAATCAATAATTGAGTAATAGAGTGAACAACGATGAAAGATACTCACAATGGAGATGTCACTGATCAGAATCACGTATTTGAAACTCTCCTTCACCATTCGATGGATTGATTGATTAATTGAAGGAATGATCGATTAAGAGAACACAGAGAGAGGATGCGAGATCGAGAGCAATCGAGGGAGAGAGTTGGGAGATCGAGAGAGAGAGAGAGAAATCACGTATTGACACATAAAATCAATTTTTTATATGGGAAAGTCTTCTTGTTGCCTTGAACCCCAATCAAACTAATCATTTATAACACTATTCTCCTTTTTTTTTTTTCCCCTCCAATTTTTGGTAAACTGGTGCGTAATTCATATGTTTATTGAAACATATGATACAAATATATTTAGAGATTTATTTTTATATTTTATTTTTTTGTTTGTATTAAAATCGTAAAATTTTGTTTGGATTATAAATCTGGATAGAAATTTAAAAATACAAAAAGAGAATGTGATTGAAATTTAATTATATTATATTTATATTTTATTTGTTTATTTTTTAATAATTTTTTAGAGTAGTTAAAGTTGGACTTTTTATAAAATTATAAATATACTCAAATAAGTTAAAAAAATTAGAGCAATTTGTTTTTTACATTGTCCTCAATTAGAAAAATTTAAGGTAAGAAGCTTGGTTGGAAATTGTTAGTATTTTATATTAAAAAAAATGAGATTGAATTTTTTTTTAATAGACGGCATGCTAATGCATACCGTGTAAAATTATAATATTTTACGACATGAAATGTATGTTGTCTTAAGTACAAATATTTTACGACATATTTTTATATGTCGTGAAATTATACGTTTTTTACGCCATACTTTTGCATGTCATAAAAAAATCTGATTGATTTTGTTTTTGGGTTAGAAGTTTTCACAACATTCATTAGCGTGTTGTGTTAAGTTATAATATTTTACAACATGAAATGCATATTGTCTTAAGTGCAAATATTTTACGACATATTTTTGTAAGTCGTGAAAACATATATTTTTTACAGCATACTGTTGTATGCCATAAATGTATGAATTAACGACTTACATGATATGTATGCTGTTATTAACAAAACATTAGCGGCTTGCAAAAAAAAAAAAAATGTCGTAGAATGTACTAACTATGACATGCATTTAATGCATGCCATAAACATAATGCCATAAATAATTAGTTTTGTTGTAGTGCCACGTTCTAGGACATGCATGGACTCTGTGTATTCTGGTAGTATAACCGCTTCGCTCTTTGAATAATGAAGCAATGAACTTTATTAAATCCTTGTATCTTGTACTTCCATTATTTGAGTAGACGAATAGACTGGTAAATCCCCAATGCCCAATCACACCTTCCCGTTCTCTTACATTGATCGAGCATACGAGATGATTGCATGCCTCGAAAGAATGTTAACACATTTATTGGTTACACCTATCCGCCTTCATTTATACAAGTCATGGAAGTTTTTGCAAATTACCAACCTTTAGACCAAAAATCTGCCAACTACAAACCTTTGGACCAGGCATTTGCAAAGATAGACCTTGGAAGCTCCTCTTCTGCCCCACCACTCTCTGTATGGGACACATTCGCTTCTTCTTCCTTCAAGTCTACTGGCTGGGAAAGTTGCCAAAACTTGATGAACCCAAATTAAGGGAGCGGATTCACCATCGATTTGTTGAATTTGATGACCCTCTTTTCATTCCTCTTTGTGCTCGGAGCTCAGTGGTTTACCCTTATGTATCCATTGATCACCAACACAGTCTGGAGGACAACTTGCTTGTGGTGTGGTACACGTCTTCCATGCTAGCGAAGATAGTGTGAACAACTCCTCATCTAGACAAAGAACAGGGATATAATCCATCATTCTTGGCTAAGAAGGCAAAACTTTGCTCTTCTGATTAGCTCAAATGCGTGAATAACCCCCAGTTCCCCTCTTTCTTCGGGATGGTTCCCTCTATACCTCCTCTCCCTCAAAATCCTCATTGGATGGAGGAATTGAAACTTACTCTTTTCGAGAATCAGTTTCTTCCTTCCTACCAACCTCCAGCTCTTCCAACTGCTGCCTTCTCTCACTTGCCTTTCAATGTTCTTGGAGATGAGATTCCTCTCAAGAACTTCCAATGGGCTTGTGATATTATGACTCGGGGTCCTGTTCTCAACCCTATCGCCCAGGTAGAACTTCAAACTTTTTTGAACCAACTTTCACTCCTTCTTCACTGGTACAAAATTTCTTTGGATACCAGTGATTCTTGGGACGAAATAACAGCCAACACAGTACAAAGCAGAGAACCTTGTTGAAGAATATAATGACTTCAAGAATAAGGATTCACCGTACTGGGATGATCTCGATATGGATGAAATGGAACAAGGCTTGAAAAAGACAGAATTTGAGGTGAAAGCTGAACAGCTTTTTCACCAAATAAGAGCATACCAGCTGTAACAACCCAATTTTGATAGGATAAAAAGTAGAATAAAGAAAGAACATAAGTTCATTGAACATTGCTAGGTCAAATTTAATGAACTTGTTACTCTTTCTATTCCATATTTTTATGAGATCGAATTTGTAGCCAAATAGGCTTTTCTAATGTAATTACTTACAAATCAATAAAACCAGGGTTTTCTCTCTCTATTTGGCATGATCTGGTTTTATGCTCCAATTTGGCATGATCTGGTTTTATACTCCAATTGGATGCTTGGTTGTATGGTTGATGCGACCTTGCTCCTTACTATGTTCACAAAAAGTTCGAATCAACCAATTTTACTATGAAGCCTAATTTAAGTATTTTCAAAGTGTGGAGTTTTCTCTTAAGGAAGACAATTTTTGTCCTAAGCTTCACATTCTAATTACATAATTAACATAATCTGTATAACCAACAGCTTCGAGTTAACCATTTTTGCGTTGAAATACAGTCCATGTGCTTCGAAGTACGAAAATTTCCCTTAGGAATTATACTGCTTACTCTTAAAGAGTGAGTCCTTTTGGGTTCTTTCATTATTTGGCCAAGTATTGACTTTGTAGTGCTTACTTTCAGAATCCACATCTTTAAACAAGATAGCCATTTTAAAGATTCTTTCGAAGAACATTGCCGTATAAAGATGGTCTAAGAGAATGCTTATAGAACCTTTGAAACCAAGAAGCCTTATCTATTTTCTCTTTTAAGGTATGAACTTCGAAGATCCTAGGAGAAAACAGGGTTCGAAGCCAACTACAGGTTTTCGAAGCCAAGCTGGGCTTTTAAAAATATACTTCCCTTCTACAAGTTACTCCTGAAAGAGACTCTCTATGATGTGGTTTTAAAATCCCTTATGGTATGAAATTAGCGTTTTAATTCCACATAAGTCAAAACCATCAAATGGTTTATTTCGGGTATAACTGACCCATTGGGTTGAATTGGTAATCTTTTGGACAATAAAGGTTAAAAACCCTTTTCCTTCGTGCTTTGCTTATTCACTTGCCCAAAATTTTCCTTCTCACCCCTACTGCTCTTGTTTGCAACTTTCCACTTCTTATCCACCTTCCGCTTTCAACTTTTCGATAATGGCTTCTTCATCTCTAAAAGTGCTAGTTATTGAGCGTGTAAGCCCCTTTGTGACCTTGAGGAGACTCATCAATGAAGAATGTGAGAAATATAGAGCTGGTGAACGGTGTGCTATTGATGGACGCATCCTTATTTCTCGTCATTGTGTTTAAGGAGAGTATGTGCTTGGACCCATTTTCAGGGAGGCCCTTGCTTAGCTCCCTGCCTTATGTCCTCGTCTGGAAGACCGTTGCCTACTCTAAGAGGGTGGGCTTGACTAGGGGAGCTGGAGGTTGAATCAACCCCACCGCTGCTGGCCCACAATGAGACTTGAATGGGATGAATGGTATGATCGAGTTGTCCCTGCTAGGACGCTGGACCATTAGGAACTTTGCCTCATTGATGCCCTTCGACTAGCCAGGTTTTCTATCCCTGAAGACCCTTTCCTCATACCTGCTGCCCTCTGTTTTTGGAATCCATCTTTCAATTTTTTTTCAATTTTGATGTGGCATGATGGCCCCTACCATTCTTGATATATGCCATCTCTTAGGGTTATCTCCCATTGGCACCCCTTTTGGTCTTGATTACCCTGACCTTAATGTGTCTTTTTCCATCCCTTCTTTGAATTCTTCCTTTAGCGATTTTGCATATTCTGAAAACTCAAGAGAGGACCTTGTGTCAGATAGAGAGTTCTTCTCTTTTCTTCTATATTGGCTTTGCAAATTTTTGTTCTGTACATCTTCTTAGAGGATTATGTCTGAGTTTGCTTCCCTTGCTAAGGCCCTTATTTTGGGAAAGAAAATAGCCTTGGCTCCATACGTTTTAGGCCATGTGTATAGAGCCGGCTCTCAATTTTGTGAAAAACCTTTGGATGCCAACCATGGGGGGCCACTCTGGATATTGCAACTTTGGCTTTTTGCTTATTTCAATGCCTTACACTCTAGGTGCTTAAGATTTTTGGTATCAGACCCTACTTCTTATGGAGTAAAATATGCTAGAGTTTCACTTTACCCTCCCACTTTTTCTTATTACTTTACTTTCTTCCACCACCTCTCAGCTTCCCCTCCTTCTCAATCATTTTTTTGTCCCTTCGAAACCAATATTGGCCCAGCCTGGTTAAGGACTTTCTTGGTTGACAGAAATTGTTCCCAACCTCAGCACAAGGACATGTGGGCTTTTATCTTAACTCTAAGGGAGCTCTTAATTGGCACTTTACATCCTCGAGCTTACAAATGCATAGCAGAAGCCTACTGCCCTGCCCAATTTGCCAGGCAATTTGGGCTTACTCAAGCGATCTTTATCCCTCTCTACAGCCAATCTAACCCTAACCTTGCCAGTAAAGAGTTGAGATGCAAAGAACTAGATTGGAGGAAGCAGCCTCCAAATTTATCCAAGACTTGATCGAATTTCAATTCACTCCCTTTATCCTACAAGGTACTGCATTAAAGAGGTACCAGAACTAGTGGACAGCAAATATGGAGGTGCACTTGGCTATTCCCCCTCAGAATCTATTGGTGGGACTAGACTTGCCTTCTCAGGCCAAGCCTAAGGGGACTTGGCTCATCACTCCTTCTATTACTCCTACTATCCCAGCTCCTACTCCTGCTGCCAGAAAGACTGCTCTTGCTGCCTCCCTTCCTCCTCCTAGAGTCACCAGGGCTGCTTTGAAGAGAGGCATGCACTTCTATCTTTCCTTTTTCTTCTCTTTATAATGCCTTGCTTGTCTACTTATGGCTTCTTTTTGATGTAGGGGCTTCACAAATAGACTCTTC